TTTGGGACAATTTTATTATATTTGGGATTTGGGATTTGGGTGGGATTTTGAGATTTTTAGTTTTGCCAGCATGTATAATCTATAGTTGAAAAGTGAGACGTATTTATTTCCATCATCAACACCTTGAGGGCTATCACATAAATCTCATTTTTATTGAGGTCGTACTGGCTTCCTGCACTCTTATTAGATTCAGTATAATGTAATATCCTTGTCCTCAGATTATAATTTTCATTGTATTTTATGTCTTCACTTGCCTTCCATACATATTGCTCACAAGAAAAGATATAATACTTGATCGATGGGTCAAGAAGGGCAGGAATAGTAGAAGATTGTGAAAGATAAGTCCAATATTCTTTTAATTTATTAACCACTTCTTGATGGTTGCGTTAAGAGTTGCTGTGCATTCGGTAAATCTGTTCCTTGTAAAAGTTGTAAAAGATTCGAGAAATTGAATTATTTTTTCCAATAATTGGATTCCAAATAATAATTTTTTATACTTGGACATGATTGTATAAGCCCATAAGCAACAGGTTAAATTTCAATAAATCGGTTAAGCATTAATAGGTGGAGTTCCATCTTGTGTCAACATCAATTTCAGGATAAAGAAATGGATGATTTAAGATGTAGAATTCTTTTCATCTCTTCTAAGCTTTTTTAATTTGTTACACAAACGACTGGCATTTTTAATTTGATCAAGATAATTTACGAATAGACCCATTTGTGAAACAGCTGCAACCGAAAAATAAAAGGATGATTGAACATTACTATGAAGGTCACGTTGACACCGCTGCCGTTTTTTTAACAGTAAGATTAATTGCATGTGCTATGCAATGTATATACGTCTTTTGAAGATAATATAAACATGTTATTTGCTTGCTGCATAGTCGTTTGTGAATCCAATTAAATTACTCAGTTATTTATTTCCAAGTTGTCAACGACTTCAGGAACTTTTCTCCAAGTATTCTCCATTATAGGAAATATATTACGGAATAAGGATAATGGTTTTAATGTTCATTTAGCATTAATCCAATGGATTGTGATTCCAAGAAGAGTCAAGAAAAGTTTGTTTGAGTGTGAGAGCTAGTTTATACTTATTTGCCTTCTGTTTTTAGCCTTGCTAATCAAATAGTCTTTTTGTATGTAAATCTGATGGCATCTCACAACGTGTATCAAGATTGGGAACCGGGTTGATAAAAGTCTGCTTCTTAAACTTTCATCAGATAGCTTATAATAAACTGGGTGAGGAGTAAGAGACCAATTATCAAAATCTTCAAAAGTAAAATTTTCGGGTAAAGTTAGTGTAGGAGGTATCGAAGCTCGTGATATTCTTGGAAAAATTAGTTTAAGCCATTCTTTGAAATTTTTCTCACTTCAGAAGGTTTATTGATTCGTATTGTAAATGGCGAACCAACCCAATCTTGATTTAAAGACTTGATTTAAAGACTTGATACGCTTTTGTTCAATTACTTTTGTCATATTCTTGCAAAGTTAAAAATTGTTTCTTCACTAAGTTTATCGATGTATTCACGAACTGGTGCGAGCTCTCATCTCGTTCTTAGGCGTTGGAAAAATTGGTCATTAAATCAAGCGAATTAATAGATGAGAATTAGTATAGTAAAAAAGTTTATTAATATCGATATGATTTCATTTTAACAATCACCTTATCATGATCTAATCACAGTTTCAAAGCTGTGTTTGATGGAAATAACAGTAAATTTAGCTAAATTAATTTTAAAAATAGTTATCCCATAGTTTCTAAAACTGGATTAAACTACGATAACATGATTGTTTGCAAAATACGAATACAAATAATAAACTTACTATTAGAAGAGAGTGATTGCAAAACTTGATTAGACTGATAAATAATTAACGTTAATAGTAATTATTTTTATCGCAGTCTAATCAGGGTTTTCAAAATTTTGCGATGAATTAGCGTTAGTTAATAAGCAAGTTTATAGTGAAGATAATTATTGAACTTTGCGCTGTGAATGTCATTTGCACCTTGCAAATTTCACCATGATATGGGCTATGTGCTGAGAAAAGGGACCAAATTGACAATTTTTTTAAAAGATATTTTTTTGTATAAATCAATTTATAATAAAGTTAAGATCATTTTTCATTTAAGACACAAAAGTAGTTATATTAATAAAATTTTGCAGTATAGCACTTTAAAGTTTGTATTTTCTTATGATTTATTATAAGATTTATGACATAAAAATTGATTTTCCGAAGATCTTTTTTTTTTGTCAATTTCGTCCCTTTTCTCAGCACCTAGCCCATATAATCGCATTCACTATGAGATTGCTCTTTTCGAATTAATTGTGAGTAAATTTAGTGTTGTATGAAGAATTATATCAAATTACTTGGATAAAACAACTTTGTTATCGTTTGTATTCTTGCATATTCAATCTATGCAAATTTAGAAATGACAACGGATTCATGCAAAACTGTTATCGTTATCCTAAAAATATTCTTACTAACTTGTCGAGTAATGATTATTTCATTTTATAAATGTTAGAAACTGAAAAAAAAAGAACATTGTTTTATTATTATAAAAACCTAATTTGCATTATTATTCAAAAAAATCCTACTTTTCTATATTCTGACCCTAGCTATTAATACACCATAGACAAGAATCATAAAGTGTGTAATAATTGTAATTTGATTTCAGGATTTATGATATTCATCCTGCATATACACGCGTCGTTCTCGATTGAAACGATTTGAGTTGACTTTAGTTAGCTTGACTCGAGCAAACTCAAAAACAAACTAAAACGAACTGTTTAACATTCTTATACAATACATAACCGATTAAATTTGGCTTAAATTAAAACCAGTTTAGCTTAAATATTCAATTATGCATAAGTCTAATTCAGTTTTTGAATTTACAATTGGTTCCAACCTCTAAAATAAACTTTAAAGAATTTATGGATGTCGAATACAATAATGAGTAAATGAATTTGAATGAGAATGTAAATCTTTCTAAGATTGTTGACAAGTTAAACGAAATACTACACGTAAACGTAAAGTTTTGTGAGGATTGTTTCGAAGATGAAGAAAACAATACTGAATTGCAGTTAGTTGAACACAACAGATTTCCAACCATTGAATTATAAATCTATTCAAGAATGAGTAGTTATCCTATCGTATTGTCGCGGAATAACGCGCAGGGTGAAATTACGAATTTCAGCCATTACTCTCCCGTTAATTCGCGACAATACGGTAATTCTGCCTATAGAGAAAAACAATTGATCTCACATCTAGAGACGCAAACTATGCAATCCCGTATGCATGTTGCAGATCAACTGTTCCAACTATTCAAACTATAGATTGTAATTAACCGGAAATTATGACAATATATAAAGTTACATTTACATGTTTTTGATTTCAGTATGCTTTATTTTCTTAATTTATTATCGGAGGATATTATGGGGAGTAATATAGTAATATACCAGATTTTGAGTGCGTTTATGTCCGCGCTTATTTTTAACTACGTTCCGGATATCTAACAGTATCTGTTTTCCTAGTCATTAAAATCTCATTTAATTATACTATAAAAAAAATATACAACTTAAACAATACGTAACCCCATATTCTTAGTTTTGTTACATAAACCTTAATCCATAAGAATTTATAATTTTTCTGTTTTATAACAAAATGTGAAAAGAACGAAACTAGATTTCCAAATTTAACAAATCGTTCTCCATATCCATATTAGAGATCAAATCTGTACCGCCATGAGCATCCGCGTACGATTCTCTTGAATTTTCAAATATAATTTTCGAATCCTTCAATTCCGCCAAGATTCGTTAGTCTTCTTGCCAATATTTTTAAAATATCACAAAGATCTTGTGCAGTTGGTCTCTTTTCTGGATCCGGATCCCAACATTGTTTCATCAGATTCACATAAC